AATTTCTCGCTCTGACAATAATAACTGTCAGTTTCTCTATAGACACCTGATATGAAATAGAGACCATTAATTCACCTAGAGGCGGCGCTCTAAATCCACCCTCCACTCCATATCGCAAAACTGGTTGTACGATAGTGATCAAGTTTGTACCGAGATCCGGCACGGAAGAAAGAGGAAGTTGTACATAGCCTAAACCACGATGTCTCGTAAACGCATCAAAATCATAGAGCAGGATTTCTAATGTTCTTCCAGCCAATGATGATACAGGCGTTACTTCAAAAACGAAATCTTCGTCGAATACTAAAAAAAGAAATTAGATATGTAAAATATTTTAATGCTTTAAAGAGAATTGAATTATTTTGAGCGATAATCTTGTGAAAATAACAGGAGAAAGATATTTACCAGGATTTAAAGTACGCCTGTGTATTGTAGTTTGCCACACATTGTTACGATCAGGTAACAAACGTATCTTGGCGTAAGGATCTGCGATGCCGCTCAATTCTCGAGCACGAAGATCATGTGCCTTATAAAACGAAAAGAAAAAAAATTATTCCGATCTATATATTCAACGGTAATATTTAATGTGCATGAGAAATAGATATAGAAATTGTGAAAAATTATACCTCGATAAGTTTCACGGTAAGTATTCCAGCGTTAGTATCATATATCAATCCTAATTTTAATTCACCCCTAATTTCATCGGACGAAGAAGTCGAAGAAGAAGATGACAACTATAGTACAAAATTATAATTACCTGTAGTAGTAATGCAATTATTGATAAATGAAGAATTTAATGAAAATATAAACCTTGTTTCGTGAAGCTGACTCGATCTCGACACTATTCAATCTGGAGTGAGACCCATCCATGCTTCGCGGCGGTCTGACGATTATCATGCGTTTCTCAGATGCAATCAATGTGCCGTCCGGAATAGGCGGTGCAAGTGGACTCATTGGAGATGGAGAAATATCATCCGATTCTGAGAGATGTTGTATAACTGCGAAAGAAATTTTCAGATACACAAGATGATTCACATAACGAGAAATGATTAAAATAAGTTGTTTAACTGTTTCAAATAAAAATCGTGTAGATTGTGGAAGAAATAAAATGGTGCAGCATATTCGAAGAATATTTCAAATTCAATTTTTTTTTCAAATGACAGTTCCTTAAAGCTTTCTTAAAGCTGAATTTACAGTGTTTTTAAAACATTTAGCCAATTTAGCACAAAAACCATTTAAAACATTTATTTATCCATTTTATAATTAAAATGAATTCGAAAAACTTTCACATTTTGCATTTTAAATATATTTTTTTAAATATTTTACATTTGGTCTTTTAAATAGAATTTGAAAAGCATTTTATCTAGCTCTGGCTAGAATTTCTCTAGTAAAAGTTAGAATACCTGTCTGGTGCGCACGCGCGTCTACCAAATAGAGAACACAAATATGAGATAAAATGAGAAAACAACAAACTACAACAAGCTATTTTACTCTATCTTACTTCACTTTTGTTCCCTGAATATAGTGGAACCAATAAAAAAATTATTACCCAGATGACTTTACTCTTACTAGAATAATTAGCTCTGGCTGATTCTTACAGTATGTCAAGTCTCAGCCTGATATTTCATATAACAATAAGGCTTTTCAAAACTGTTGATTGGATATGGGACAGAGAGGCTATCTCGGATCTATTGTTCTACAGCAAATCATAATTTGTCTATTCTTCTATAGTCTATTCACTTTATGACACTTTCTTCTGTAACTCTTTAATACAATTTTTAAACATTTTTTACATGTATATGTCTACCTCTTCTGGGAGAATCACTGGCAATGCTATCAAATACGTGATCAGATTGCCATTCATCATCATCTGAACGACTATCATTACGTTTGATAATTTTATTATCCCGCGAAAGCGCGACACCAGCTAAAACATTCTTTGATGACTTAGCTGCCTCCTCAGCTCTATCCAACAAATCTTTTTCAAACCTGAAAAAAATTTTACTATTTATTTATTTTTCCGGATCTTCGAAATATTTTTCCGTGTCTTTCATATTTTTCGAGACATTTGCCTAGGGCTATTAAAATGGGGAACATCCATTTTATGTTACTACTCTATTAGAAAGAAAAATACAAAGTTACATGCCAGTTGAGTGGTCCTCCAACCGAAGTAAGCAATCGGCGGCGACGCGCACAAATGGTATAGACAATCACTGCAGATATTGCCCCGGTAGCGGCTCCAACTGTGCTTAGAACTGCAACCACTCCGGCACCATGAACATCCATTTTAATTATGAATCTATATTTATGAGACATTACAATCAAATTTAATTTTTTACAAAAAGCGATCTGTGATATCGTAATCAATGATGGTCATGTGTAGATGCTAAATAATCAAATTTGTATACAGAGTCCTCCATCAACTTTTAAAATGTGTTCTAAAAATTATTTAAAACAAAAAAGTTCATATACACTATAAATTAATTGGTTCAATCAAATTTGAGATGAAGAATTTAATTATTGTCAATAATATAAATTTAACTATAAAGAATAAAATATACAATTTTTCGTAAACTATAGTTTTCAATACTTTTTTAATATTTTTAAAGTGCAGAATAATTAGAAGAATTATGTTAAGTATGCAAACAAGTTTATATAACTGCAGCTTCATCTTAAAAAATAACCTTAGAAAATAAAAATTTTTACGAAAATTGATTTTACCATTACATGTCTCCTTCAAATCATACAACTTTTGTTGTTTTGAAAATATTTTTTTCATAAATTTAGCTATTTCTATGTTATTTCATTTAATTAATAAGTTTCAGTTATTCATTAAAATTCTGCATACATGCACACACACATGCATGTACACTTTCTTTGTACATGATTCCAGAACATGCACTATACAGATTTCTCTTTCTCTTTTTCTTCCCTCTCCCCCCCCTCTCTCTCTCTCTCTCTCTCTCTCTGTGTGTGTGTGTGTGTGTGTGTGTGTGTATATGCGAATGTGTACATATATCCTAATGAAAGACATTAGGAGACATGCGGCCTGAAAGATTTTGCCTATACCTAAAAATGGCCTTCAGTTTAAAAAAGGTTGCGCATATCGCATATTCAAAATCCCAAAATCGATAGTAATTTTACAATTTCTTTATACGTAAGACTATCTATAATTAGAAGAGAAAGAGTAATTATAATTAAGTCACACTTAATAAATAATGGGTATAAATGAATTTGTGAAAAAATCGCCTGTAATCCGCGTCATTACATTTGTACTAAAACGAATTCTTTAATTTATAATACTTATAAGAAGCACGAAAATGCGCTCTTCTGGATATAGATGTATATGTATCGCAGATTGAACATATGGTAAGATGTAATAAATACACTCACCCCTATCCGTGCGGCATTACATTATACTTTAACCAAAATACGCAGCGAATACTTTAACCCCAGAGGAACAAGTCACACTGAGACTATCAGATCAATAAACAATGGATAATTTATTAATGCATGTTAAAATAACTCTCTCATGATTCATCTCACTCTACGTGCGTACATTTTCCACCCCATAAACTCACCCCAACTCACCCTCAAGGAGTTCACCCGTACGCATGCGTTAGCATTCAGATGCTCATCTTGCGAAGGATCATCGAGCGACCTTGAATAGTCGCGTTCTGCAAACTCAACTGTTGCAAAAAGTAGATCCGTAAGCACTCGCTGCTATTGGTGTATTCTTTTTGATCATCCAATAGCAACGAGCGCTCACTCATTTGCTCCGCAACTCGAATCCGCTGAACGCGACCATTCACACAATTTGTATAGCCGTATAAAGATATATATATATATATAAAGAAGATTATCCAATCATATTGGAGGAAAAGAGGAATTCCGAAATCTATTAAAAAGAAACTATTGCAACCTTTTAGGCTGTGCTCAAAGTCTCACTACAAATGCTTTGAAACATTTGATGGATTATTAGAAGAAAGAATTTTACAAACTGTCAAATAAAAAACGTTTCAAAATATTTGCATCGCATTAACCGTATTAAATCAATTAAATTGTGAAATAATCAATACATTTTATTGTATTGTTAGATAAAATATTGAACTATTAGATAAAATATGTATTTTATAATTCGAAATATTTGCATTTTATTTTTATACTCAAATTAAATTAGTGTACAACGGCTTTAATATACATCAGCGAGTTGATTCTGTATCTTCAAATAAAGTGAAAATTACAAAAGTGAACAAATTTACTAGATGTTGACCAATGAAATTATTAGTATTCTAGTTCGCTTATTTTTTTAATTTTCACCTTGCTTCAAGATACAGAATCGATCCCCAGTGCTTCCAATCGAATTCGCCATAATGTTTATTATACGAAGAAGGAGAAAATGCTTTTAGAGGAGTTTATTTCCGCAAAAAAAAGCTATCAAAAATAATTATCGATGTATCAGATTTAAATTAAAAGCTATCGAAAGTAAAAAGACCGGTGTGACGAATTAAATTTAGAGATATCCTTAGTTATGAAGGCTACATCTCTTCAAAGAAACTCCTAACTCCTTTAACCTCCTTTAAGAAAAGAAAGATAATAAGGCTCCTTGTTTGATCAAGGAAGATTTATGAAACAACATAAAATGAAGAACAAGGAATCTTCATTCCTCAAAGAAGGACTATGAATATGGGTATTAATCTCAACTTATTTTTCGTCTTTGTCTAATTCTAAAGATTAGAAAAAGACGAAGAGTAAGTTGAACCGAGATTAATTTTGATGGAAATGGGCTTAAATATTCGAAATTCCTGATTTGTATGTAATTGAATATATGAAAAATATATAGCCTGAGTTTTATAGGATATCTTATTTTAAATAGTCCAATTGAATATTTCAAAAAGAAATACGGCAAATAAAGACAAAAATTTGGATGTTTGAAGGGGAAAAAATAATAGTAAAGCTGAATTAATGCTACATAAATATTTTTAAAATATTTGTAAAATGAATATTAAAATTCCAAAATAACATTTCAAGAATATTCCGATTTCTCCCGAAATATTTCCAGAATGTAAAAGCAATATTTAAATGATGAAATATTTCATACACATACACTGTCGTTTATATAACACGCTAATGTCTGTTTATTTTTCCAAGATTTCGTTTCCCAAAATTCCAGACATCATAGAATAGCATAGATTGGTCGTATTATCTACGGGATCTTTATGCAGGCACCACATGCACGTTTTGACACCGAGCTCTGATTGGTGAAAAATGGGCAATGAGAATAAAATTTACTCTCACAACCGGTTTTTCACCAATTAGCGCTCGGTATCAAAGACACTCTTTTTAGTTTACTGAGTATTTGATTCTGTTCGCGTTGCACTTTTTGCAGATCTCTTGATATGTGTATAAAGGCTGTGTTTTAAATTTGCCAGCTGCCACTGCTAGCTACAGTTTACGTTACATGCTTTATAGATTTTCAGTACAAAGCAGTCAATTGGAACATTGCCCAAATAGTAACTTTCTATTAAATTATTTTAATTTCAATATTTTTAAAGACTGATGCATTAAATTGGTACAATATGCATGAAAATGATTAATTAAATACACATATCATATATTTACACATATCACCGAAATTAATAACTCAATAGAAAGTCACTAGTTAATATCTTCCGTATCAAGTATGTACGATGTAAACTAGTGCTATGACTGACTTGCGTGACTCAAGTGTGTGTATGCTGTATGTTCTGTAATGTCACACTAGTGAAAATATAGCTCGTATGTAATTTCACATGAAGATTCGTCGGATCGTTGAGCTATTTTCAATTATGATCATCTGCAATGATTGCAGTTACACTCTCGTATGATAAAGAGATTACATTTGACGTATAAAAAGATGGTGACTGACCGATAGCGAGATTTGATAACGCAAATCTTGAATATTTCCATTTGTCCTTGTCGCGATAAGATCATCAATCCAGAGTAATGAACAGCAGATCAGCGCTCAAGATATTGTGAGCGGTCGGAGACACCAATTTAGGTTCGTATTTGCTAATATTGATAGCTAACATACAATGTTACATGTAGACGAAGTTCGCAGCTTGTGGACTGCTCGATGATTTGTGTTGTAAAGTCTTGGTGATAATTCTTTGTACATACATATCTCGTACGTAAATAATTTCAATTGGAAAAAAAATTGATCGTAACTAAAATTTAGTGTAAAGTTGTCGCGTATGTAGCGACGTAATGCCGAAAAATTCTATTTTTGCATACTTTTAAATTCTTCGTTTTTATGTACTTGAGTTTGCCGAATTTATTAAGACTAGATTAGATTGAATGTATTATATAATTATACTGATTGTTTTTCAAAATAACAAAAGCACAATTATATTTTTTCAAATGATTAATTTTTTATGCTATTACTGATGTGTGTGTGTGTGTGTGTGTGTGTGTGTGTGTGTGTGTGTGTGGTGTGTGTGGTGTGTGTGTGTGTATGTATGTGTGTATGTGTGTACGCGTACGTGCATGCGCGTGTGTATGTATGTGTGTGTGTGTGTGCGCGCGTGGCGTATGCGTGTGTGTGTGTGCAGCAAATTACATACAGATATATAATTACTAGTTGATATCATAAATATAATCAACCTTTATAGTTAACTGTACTTCTAGAACTTATTGTGTGCACATTGCAGATATCACAAAGGAGTAAGAATATTATGAATTCTTTAAAATAATCACCTTGAATTGCAATAAATTTTTTACAATGTCTCATTGCGAGGAAGATACAGCATCTCCTGGTTTTCACCAATTGAGTATTACAAGTAAGTTATACTTATGGAATTCCAGTGAGAAAGACTAAAGAATATTTTTAACCTATATTAAATGTTCTGTTTTATCAAAAGGAATATAATTGTATCAGAATTTTTTTTTAATTTGTTTATATTATTTGTATTTAGAAGAATTGCACAGTGAAAAAAAAATGGGGAAAAAAAATTTGTAGCATTATATTTAGCATTATTATATAAGTTACTATTGCTGTTTTCTATTCTAAATTCTGTTATATTATGCATCATCAATCAAATGTTATCTTTATGAAATTATTTGCTTGTTAACTAAATATTTTCTTCTGTTACATAATGTTTCGTTATATGAACATATCTAATTAATGAAATATAAAATAAATGTAAAATAATTATACACTTGATTTACATCTTTAAAATAATATATTTTAAATTCAATATTTTATTTCTGTAAAATTAAAAATTATTTTATTAAATTATAAATTGATATAGTGCAATCAAGGTTGTATAATTGTTTTATTTATATTAATAATGATATTCGATTATTTCAGTTGAAGCAGCAATATTGAGAAGTTCAACTTTTTTAAAGCCTAATCCATACATAGAATTTTCAGTCGATGATAAAAGCCCTCGCAAAACAGAAGTATCAAAGTCTACATATCAACCAAAATGGAACGAAGAATTTACTATACTTGTTACACCATATTCTCAGTTGCACTTTCGATTACTTGACCATAGTACATTTCGCAAAGATACTTTAATAGGAGAAAAACGAATAAACTTGTTCCAAGTGTTATCGCATTATAATGGAAAACTAGAAAATTTAGAATTAACATTTGACTTAATGAGTGAGAGCAAGCATGATTCTCAACTATGCAAAGTTGGTGAATTGATAACGGTATTTGATGGACTTAGAATTGATACCACTAATGAGATGCCAGTAAATGTTATTGAACCATCTTGCCAAATACAATCTGATGGTAAGAACAATATTACAGTGATTGATATACAAAAAACTTTGAAAATAATATTTTAATATCTATAATGGAAGTTTGTTTAACATGTTCCATGTCATGGATCACCTAAGACCATGTTGAATTTATCGTTTAAGCTTGATATTTTGGCTATAATTTTGGATATAAAAAAAACATAATTATGAAGTAATTTTTAATATACTATATGCATATATTAGTACATTAGATATATTAGTACATTAGATTATCTTCTTAATAATAATTTTTGTATTTTTTCAATCATGAAATATATTTTATTTAATAAATCCAAAAAAACAAATCCAAACAAAAATATCGGCGTGCAACCTAAGCGGCATGATGATGAAATCAAATTCGATTAAAATTAGCCTGGCATAGAACGTATTAAAGAAATTGAAAGAATACGTGTTATCACAATTTTCTTTCTTTTTTTTTCTATTTAAATTGTATCATTTTAGGTGCCACAAATGATACAATCAATAATCGAAGCATTCTCAATGGTGGAGTCCGTGCGCGCATGAGATTACATAGCTCAGAGAATCTTGCACCATCTATATATCGTGGTTTGGCAAACATTCATCTTAGTCCCAATTATAGTGGAGGAAACAGTCAAGCAAACAGCAACAAAAACATTGGATTGTCTACTACAATCTCGAATACAGATAGTACATCAAGTGGCAACGTCGGTAGTAGCGCTAATACTAACAGCGTTTCTACAAGTATTTTAGTGAACGGGCACGCGATTCCAATGACAGATAAATCTATGGTGTCATCAGGAAATCGGCATGCCACAGATGTACGAACTTTCGCAGGTAGATCGATTAAAGAGCTATCGTTGGCTTCAGCCAATTTATCAGAGAGTCGAGCATGGAGCAATAACAGCAATGTAGATCAATCTACACTGGTCAAGTCGGATTCACGTGGTCCGCCGCGATCAGAACAATCTTCCTCGACGATATCCGGGCAACAGATTTGCGCGGATGTCCGTATAATTCCGCGACAAGATCAATCTATGCTTCCTAATACGGATAATTCCAGTGCTTCTCAAACAGATGTGAAAGCATCGTCGCATGTGGATACATGTGGCAGTGCTAGTGCCCTACGATTAGAACAATCGATTGTCACAGATGGCCGTGTAATGGCACGTTTGGAACAATTGGTGAATAATATTCCTTTGGATCCAGACGATTTGTTGTGTCAGAGACAATCGGATCAACCGGCAAATATTCGACGAACGAGTATGACAAATGAGGATCAACGCGGAATGAGACAACAATCAGAACAATCTACAAACATTCGTGTGGCCGAGGATTTACGAGGAATAAGGCAATCCGAGCAATCCACGAATGTTCGTGAGGATTTACGTGCGACAAGACAACAATCGGAACAATCCACAAATGTTCGCCCGCAAGAGGAGTTGCGAACTCCGCGGGTAGAACAATCAATAAGTACAGCACCTCATCTAGATCTATGTGGAGTTTCACGTAGCCAGCAAAATGCAAGTGTTCCACTGACAGATAATCGTGCTGTAATTTTTCGATCAGAACAATCGGCAGTGATTCCTCTCTCTGATGGACGAACAATTCCTATTGTGGAACATATATCTCCTGTTGCGCTACCAGATTCTCGTTCCAATGTGCCGCGAATTCCACAGACCACAGCTTCAAGTCAATCTATTGCTGCATCTGTGCCTGGACAATCTGTGACACAACCAGGATCTTCCATAGTGCTTACTGAAGATATCAATCATTCCGAAGAACCTTTGCCGCCTGGTTGGGAAATGAGATATGATTTATATGGAAGAAGGTAATTATCTCTATCTTATATCTCTCAAGTTATTAGATATTATCTCTGTCATATATCTGTTGTGCTGTTAGATATTATGTCGATCATAATACTCGAAGCACGTCTTGGGAGAGACCACAACCTTTGCCTCATGGATGGGAAGTTCGTCGAGATCCAAGAGGTAGAATTTATTACGTGGATCATAATACAAGAAGTACCACATGGCAAAGGCCAAATACAGAAAGATTACAACATTTCCAACATTGGCAAGGTGAAAGGCAATATGTCGTACAACAAGGCAATCAAAGATTTCTTTATCCTCAGGTAATTAGACTAATTAGATTAAATAAATTAAAATAATTTAAAGTCTCAATAGATTAAAAGTCAAGACAATCTTTAATAGATTGTGCTATACTTTCTAATTATATATTAATAGCAAAATTTGATAGTATAACAAATAATATAAGAAAAATAATATTATAAATGAATTATACAAACAAATTTTCAAAGTAATCGATTGTGTTCGCCACAATAGCTATCCAAACAAGATAAAAAATGATGGTCTATAAAATAATAAATAAACAAATTAAAACTTTTATTTAATGAGAAAACATTAAATTAGATTTTGTAGCATTTGATCTGATTGGATTATTGTATTGTAGGCTCATAATAGTCAAGCTTCTGTTGGTCCATCGACATCCATGGTAGATGATGATGATGCTCTGGGACCATTACCGGCAGGTTGGGAAAAACGGAAACAACCAGAAGGAAGAGTTTATTATGTAAATCATAAGAACCGTACTACGCAATGGGAGGATCCTCGAACTCAAGGTCAAGAGACCGGAATGGATGAGCCACCGTTGCCAGATGGCTGGGAAATACGATTGACGGAAGATGGAGTTCGCTATTTTGTGGATCACAACACTCGAACAACGACATTTCAGGATCCAAGACCAGGTGCACCCAAAGGGTTAGTGTCAAATGCATTGTTCAAGCTTAACATGCATACGTCATGTTCCGATATACTCTGCTAGTACTGAAAATCTATAGTATACGTAACGTGTACTATAAATTTTCAGTATTGGCAGTGTATATCAGAATACGCCTACAGTGTAAAATAAAAAAAAATTATAACTATATATTCTATTTGCACAGTCCAAAAGGTGTATATCGCGTCCCGAGGGCATACGAAAGGTCATTCCGATGGAAATTGTCTCAATTTCGATTTTTGTGCCAGACTAATGCGCTGCCTAATCATATTAAGATTAGCGTTAGTCGACAAACATTATTTGAAGATTCTTATCATCAAATAATGAATGCGGAAGCCTTTGCACTAAGACGACGATTATATATAATATTTAAAGGAGAGGAGGGATTAGATTATGGAGGTGTATCTAGGTAGGATATACAGATATATAATAATAAACTTATTATTAAATAGACATTTATAGAATAATCATATATCCACTTTGTATGAAAAGCTAAATATTAAAACTTATTTATATAGTGCTCATTCTCAATTGCTATGGAGAAATTAAACAATTCTAATTTTCAGGGAATGGTTTTTCTTATTAAGCCATGAAGTTTTAAATCCGATGTATTGCCTATTTGAGTATGCCAATAAAAGTAATTACAGTTTACAAATAAATCCAGCATCATATGTTAATCCTGATCATTTACAGTATTTCAAGTTTATAGGAAGATTTATTGCAATGGTATGTTTTTTGTATTTATAGATAATGGTTTATGTTTCTTTTTTTTGTATTATATGAAAATCATTTTATTTTTCTCTTATTTTAGGCTCTTTATCATGGCCGATTTATATATAGTGGATTTACAATGCCGTTTTATAAGCGCATGTTGAATAAAAAATTAGTAATGAAGGATATAGAATCTATTGATCCGGAATTCTACAAATCCCTCGTATGGATAAAAGAAAATAATATCGATGAATGTGGCCTAGAATTATACTATAGTGTGGATTTTGAGATTCTTGGTCAAGTGATACATCACGAGTTAAAGGAAGGTGGTGATAAAGTTAGAGTAGGTGAAGACAATAAGGAAGACTACATTAGGTATATCTCTTTGTAACAAAAATGATTGTAATATAAAAAAATTATAATAAGAAAGAAACTACATGGTATGTATATTGTTGCATTAATTGAAAAGTGACATAAATAAACATTTTTTAGATGAAACAAAATTTGAAAGGAAATTGACTCTATAGATTAATATATTTTTGTATAAAAATTACACATTTTTAGATTTTTTGCTTATATAAAAAATTATCAAAACTTTGAAAGAATTTCGTCCATTTTGAACTATTCGCGTCCGGTCATTAATCATATAAAATTTTGTAAATAACAATATATGATAATATTTAAGAAAAAATAAGTTTAGATCCTGAAAAGATAAATATTGTCAATCATCTTATGTCTCTCGAAATCACAAAACTTTTGTCTAAAGCATTTTTTTCTAAAATGCTATTTAAGAGATATTTGATGATCAAGTAAACTAGGACACCCTATATAATTGATCAGGGGATGCAAGTCCAAAACCCTTATGAAAAAAAAATGGGCAAAAATAGTAAATGGTTCTTTACACTATACTAGGACTGTAGTGTTTGAATTTTAAGAACTGATGATAGTTTTAAAAAATACATTATGAAAGTATAACATAAGAGAAGAATAAAGTTATATAAATGCATATTAGCTATCTTAATTAAAACATTTCAGAATTAAAAAAATGCTTTATTGAAAAGTTGCTAATTGAAATGTTACTTTTTTATTAATATAATAATCTATGTATGTACGCGTATATATTTGTAACAGCAAATTTGGTTGGATACATTAGTGTGTTGTGCGCATTAATGTGTTCAATCGCTATAAAAAAAATTCGCTATAAGAGATGTTTTTATTCGTGAATATTCGACAGATTGATGACAGAGTGGAGGATGACAAGGGGTATAGAGGAACAAACTAAAGCATTTTTAGAAGGTTTCAATTCGGTTGTGCCACTTGAGTGGCTCAAATATTTCGATGAACGTGAATTGGAGCTCATGCTTTGCGGTATGCAAGAAATAGATGTTGAAGACTGGCAACGCAATACTATTTATAGACATTATACTCGTAACAGCAAACAGATTCTGTGGTTTTGGCAGGTACAATGTTCTTAATGTTATATCAAAATTTATATCAAATTTTATTGTAATTACAATGTTCAAATATGTACTGTTTGTATTTTAGTTTGTAACAAGAACAGATAGCGAAAAAAGAGCTAGATTATTGCAGTTTGTAACTGGTACTTGCCGTGTACCTGTTGGTGGATTTGCTGAACTAATGGGTAAGTTTTAAAGAGACAAGCTTATTTTTACTAAAAATAATAAGTGTTCAGAATTTGGTAAATTAAATTTTTTTAAATTAAGTCAGATTAGATTAAAGTTATGTTAAAAGTTGTGTGAAAATTTAACTTGATTTACAAATTAATCCATAATGAAATTAATTGAATTAAAAGTTAAGTTAATAAAAAGAATAATTGAAAAATCAAAAATTAAATGTGTTTTGCTTCATGATTTCAGGATTTTAGCTTTATAATTGAATATAATTGAAATAACAAATATACATCTTATTTAGAAATATACTTAGGAATTAGAATTTTTTGAATCAGTTTTTTGAATGTTTCCTCACTATGAAAAATGCTATAGATTAGTGAGAGTTAGTGAGACCTATGTAAAGTATATGTATACCTGTATAGTATATGTAGACGCGTGACTTATTTATTTACAGCAAGACTTAACTTAAGAAAGTGAAATTAAAAATTAATAGTAATAGCCAATGAAAAAAAATGTAACTACATTAAGTTAAAATTGAGAATCTAAAATGTAACTATAAGTCAAGTTAAAGTTATTTAACTTTTTAACTTAACTTTTCTTGAATGCGTGCATACGTGTCATATATTCTATTTTATAAATGTAGATATAATTCATAAAAAGATTGTGACTCAATATAAATTGATCAATATTATTATTTACTGATTTAAACAATCAATTGATGATTAAATTAAGAAAGTTTAACAATAATATGAATTTTGTGCTATATTGTATTACAGGTAGTAATGGGCCACAAAGGTTTTGTATAGAGAAATTTGGCAAAGATACTTGGCTACCAAGATCACATACCTGTTTTAACAGATTAGATTTACCACCTTACAAAAGTTACGACCAATTAGTAGAAAAACTGAATTACGCAATCGAAGAAACGGAAGGTTTTGGCCAAGAATAATTGTAAACATATTAATTAATAATTACTGTGGTAGGTACACTGCAAGTGTATTAATGACAAAAGCAAAATTTAGTGTCGCGAACTGATGGTAAACGTTTCTATGCTACATTTGAAATCTGTTTAGGGTAGCTATAATTGACATTGTAAAAGTTGCAAATAATTGAAGATGTGTATATTGTTCCAAAAATTTATATGAAATGTCTTAAATTATATGCAAATAATGTAATAATATTTAAGTATTACTCTATTATAATTTATTCCAATATTTCATATTTTATCGATATTTTTAACTTCCACAGATATTGAATAGAATATCCACAGATATTGAATAGAACATTAATGAGGCATGAAATTGATAATAAAATTAAAAATAATATAAATATATATAAAGAAACTATATAAAAATGTAAAGTTTAATGTTTTTTTGCAGCATACATACACACACACACACACACACACACACACACACACACACACAGAGAGAGAGGAGGGGTTTACAATTTGCTTCAGAATGATAATGCGGAAAGATTTTTGAAAAATTAAATAAAAGTGTATGCCATTTCTTATTGTATGCAGTAATTTTTCAAGTTTTTAAAACTGCTCAATCAAGATCTATAATTAAACTTATTAAATGATTATCTGTTCATGAGTTATGCATATACATATAATTTAATTAAATATTGTAAATATAATATTACATTTTTGCACATATGTAAATATAATTAGGTATCAATCTTGATATCAATACTTAACATTATTTACTATTTACTACGAGTAAATAAATAAATTGCATATATATATATATATGCATACAGAGTTTTGTTTCAAACGTAATGTGTTGTATATTTCGGAAAATATAAAAGATATAATGTTTCAAATCAAAATTGTACGGTTTGAAGAAATGAAAAAAAATAAAATAAAATTATTTTTTTTTAAATTAGTTTTTCAAGATCGTATATACAGTCATTTTTTTAATGGAATTGAAAATTATAAAAAATAATTTACAAGATAATATTCTTGAGGCTTCCACGGATGCTTTCTATAAAGATTATGCGTTTCGCGGATTTTCTCCGTGTCCAGATCCATTCTTGGAATGCCAACGTTTCGTGAATCTTGCAGTCCACTTCAAATTTACGAGATATTTTATATTTTATTTTGGCACATATTAACATGAAATATCTCGTAAATTATTGATTTTTCGATAGTTACCTTCGACAGTTACATTTACCTAATATTTTTATGTGCAAAATAATCAAAGGAATTATATTATGTAGAAAAAATCAATTTCATTAAAAAAATTAGCGGTAACATCCATATTTGATCTTAAAAGACTGATATTTTTCAAAAATTAATTTTATCAATATTTGCATCCAACTTTCATCTGAACAAAATATCTTGTACATATGTCTGTGCAATATTACGTGTAATATAATCCTGATTTAAAGATAAAATAAATACAACAAATGAAAATTTTTAGATTATTAGCGTCATATTGCTAGTAATGCCTGATTCTATAGAAAATTATTTTAATTACAATTACCAATGCGATAATATACAGAACATAGTAGAAATCGAATAGTTAATTGCAATCTAATTGTATATGTGCCGTGATTTATTATGACTTCTAAGCTTTTCTAATTTATTCATTTATTTTTTCGTTTATTAATTTTTTATTAAGCCACGAAAACTATTGCTCAAAAATAAAAAATAATGACGTATACTTTTATTAATTTTTAAAAAACTTATACTATTTTCATTCAGGGATTTTGAAACAACTTGTACTAAACACAGTACTTTAATTGCCTTAAGTAATATCCCGAAAAAGTATGGAAGGCAGAAACATTTCAGAATTTTTCAAAATAATATTTTTTAAAATTTTGTGTTAAAAATATTAAGATAGAATTATCAAAAAAATGAAGTTCACAAGATATTTTATATTTTTTTATTTTATACTATTCTGGTTTTACTTTAACATAAAAGAATATGTTGTAAATTATTGAGGTTTTGATAATTTTTCTTTTATGTACAGAATAATTAGAGGAATCATTTTATGTAAAATAATAAAAAAAAATTTATAATTTCAATTAATATAGGAAATAAATGCATTTTAATGGTCTAATAATTCTATATGAATTTAAACGTATGTAGTCCTTTAAACTGCGCACTAAATGATTTTTCGAAATATTTGCCTGGGGCAATTAAAATGGGATACTTTGTATATATAGAGTGTCCCGGAGAAAATATAACTGAGTCACAAATTCTCATTTTAAAGTAATAAGAATGATAGTTAATCAGATAAGGATTGATCGTGTATCTTGAAACGAGATAAAAATTTTAAAAATGAGCAAATTTACTGGAATATTTATACATTTCATTGGTCAACATCTAGTAAATTTGCTCGCTTTTGTAATTTTCACCTCATTTCAAAAACACAGATGAAAATAACCCCATAAATTTCTATATAAATTTTTATTTTATGACCGTTATCAAGATATTTGTTTTCAAAGATTTGGAAAGTATTTTTCTTGAATAACTTGAACTCTTCATGTATAATTTTATAATTATTAGGCATAGATATATCATAGACATGACTATAATCAGGGGATTAAGTTGATAGAATGAGAGCGTATAATATCTTCTATTTTTTTATGAGAATGATACTACTACGTGAATTCGAGCCACATAAATATGTATAAATTTCAATTATATTTTATTACATTTTAATCACAATCGTTTATTAAATATTTACGCGAATGAAAGGAATAATTGTCATTCTAGAAGATGCAACGCACTCTCTTTCTATTTAATGGGAAAAACGCATTTTTCTTGAATTTTTTAATTCATCGATTGATCAATCGCATTGTGCGCAAATATAATTTTGTTTTGCAAAAGCTGTATAAAAGTAGAATAAAAATTATTTAAGAAAAATTTTCGAATCTTGGCAAACAAGTATCTCAACAATGTGTAGTAGGAAAAAAATTTATAAAAACTTACAGGATTATTTTTATCTAATCTGTATGTGCTCTCGTGAAATAATGCTCATCTTTACCAGAACATTCTGTATAATATTTTATAAGCGACTAATAAAATACTTTATGTTCCATCTTAGGAAGTTTAGAACAGAAGTGACTATAGTTATCTCTTTATATATCTGAAATAGCGAATATTAATAATTATACTAATTTAGATACATTATCTAAATTATCTAAATAATATTATAAATATTTGCTATATATAAACGGCCAATTTTATTGTAGAAAGAATTTCTGGATATTTTTATTATCGGATATATTTCTCATACATTTGTATTGTCATTTATTTAGAGATTTATTGATACCCTGCATATTATCTCACAAATATATGAAATTACCTAATAACTATTTTTTGCTATATTTATAGTAATGTAATATTGAAAATTATAAAATTGTGCATTTGTTTGTAAGTAATATATATTTTATGTATATAATATCTATGCAGTATAAACACAATCATTTGCGTGTATTACTGCATAAATAGATGCATATATGTGCGTATTGAATATTATTTAAATATCTACAAAAATATTTGGATTTATTAAGATAAATCAGGGTAAAACATTTATTTAAGTATCGAAGTAATAAAAAAATAAAAATACCTGCTTATAAAATGTTGAATATACTGCTATTACAGCATATATTAATATTTGTAAAGCATGTTTATTTTTTAAGTTCTCTTGTATAATATTAATTCATATAAATATATTTATAGGTAATTTGAATTCAGTGCTTTATTGTATGCGTACATCTTTTATTATTTTTCTCATATTCTGATTGTTTCTGATATTCTGATTGTTTTTCTGTGATCTAAAAAGAGATATAATTTCCTGAATTTAAAATTTTGAGGAAATATTGATTGTTACATTTACATGGCATTCTTGATCGGGTTTAATAACATCTGTAGTTACATTTATTGCAATGAATTGTATCATTAATATTTTCATATATTTTTATTTTATATTATTTAATATTATACTCCGCGTGTATTTCAGAAAAAAATATTATCTGAAAAAAATTTATTAATATGAATTAAAATCGATATTTTAAAATGAACGTAAATGCAATATATGATATTACAATCAATTATCAGAACATTCAAGATTTATGTAATTCAAAAACAGGTAAATTCTTAACAATAAATCATTTCTTTCTTATAATATTATATTATATTTCTGAGCGATTCGATAGTATAAATTGAAAAAATTTTTTGTCAAATGATAAATTTATTAAATACACATCTATGTATATAATAAATATTGTATAAAGTATATTCTATCAAATAAAGAAAACTTTGTGATTAGAAATTATGGAAAGGAGCACCTCTATTATTGATTCAATTAATTTATTATATTAGTTCATTTAATTTATTAGTATTCGTATATTACATACAGGAGATATATTAAATATACTAGGAATAAAGACTATAACTTTTTTATCTATTTCTTGCTATAATTTTGGATTAGGACCAAAAAACTTTTCCCATGGAAAACGATAAGTTGAGTTGTGATCACCTATGTTATCTTTTACAGAAGATTCCCACTTTTGGTTAAAGTCTTTCAATTCATCTGCAATTAAAATTTTCGTATTAAATTATACAATAGCAAGTACGGTTATTAAGGGCGGTATTTATATTCAGTTTTGTTTTAAGACTGTTTTAAGTTATGTCTTAAAATTGGCTTATGACATCTTAAGACTATATTTAAGATAGTCTTAAATATAAGAATCGACTACGATATAAGAATATATAAATATAAGAATATCCTGAGTGTTATGAAAATATATAAACTGCTTTCAATTTGGATGCTCACGCGTTGTAAGCTTTATTTTATTTTTATCGATCATTATATGTGGAAAAAAGAATGAAGCTTATGAATGCGTGTGAGCAACCCGACATCCCAACCAGAACACTACAATGTTACATACTTTTGGATATAAACAAAAAAGATCTCAAATGTACATATACAACCTCTTGAAAAGAAAAAAAAACGTTTAAAGCGTTTCAAAACGTAAAAGAATTGTTTAATAGACTTAAAATCTGATA